ACCAGAGCCTCATCTTACCGATGCAGGGAACTTGATTTACCCTCCTTAGTCAACCTTCCCACGAGAAGCCTCCCAAAGTCGCTTCGGACTGGGGGGAGGTCCATCACAATGCTTGTGATTGGCTCTGGTATCGCGAGTTAATCTTACCTTTTTAATGTAACCGTCCGCGTAGGTATACTACCCTACTCGGAGTCATATCATGTCAGCTACGGGTTTGTGCACCCTGAAGTGAATTTTCAACTTGGTGAAAAGGGCAGATTTGTGGGGTTTACGGGATATTTGGCGCTGTGGTCAGGAATCAGGCCACTCGCTATAGTTCTAGCATCGTAAACGGACGCAATCCGGGTGGAGATCGCTTCCAAGAGTGGAGTGAAATTTCAAGTCACGAACACATTAGAATTGCTTGAGATGGATTAGTTTGTAAAAAGAAAGGACTACTCGCGTTGTTTGATTAGTACTCTTTATGCGTACAACCTCCACTATGTTGAACTGGGTTCTGACAGGGTTGCTTCTCTGCTCCCCAAGCACAGCTTAACCACTACATAACTTGGAAAAAGGGGACATGTAATCACGTTACAAACCTAATCATGTTGGTACCAGTGAGTGTATTTAGGACTGAACGCCCCTAAGCTCGTGCGAATACGCGTTTTAGGATCACTGAGAAGTCGAGGAATGAGCAGGAACTAGGAGAAAATTTGCTAGCTGACAAGCAGAGATTTTCTATTACAAAAGAATGTGGGAAAAATCCTATGTATATACGGGGCCTTCCAAGAAACGAACGATCTTGCCCATTCCCGAAGGGGTGGGGCACCAAAGTTGTGCGTGACCACATCGCGCTGTACCTGTATATCAGGGCGCCCAAAGACAGTAATTGTCTGACTTCCGAGTTTGTGTTTCAACACTGCCAACTGGGCCTACAGAATATCTGTGAGGCCGACTCGTTTTGTCCCCGAGAGTCAATTGCCACATATTGGAGCAAGTGAATAAGTAATGCCAACTGTTGGTTCCCGGCGGATTACTTCGATTTGTCTGCAGCTAATACCCTTCTCGTACAGAATCGTTTGTGCTTATCAATTTGGTTAACCACGGTTCAAATGCTGGGGTGTATGACACCTTTCTCACTGAGCCTAGTGTCATGTTACCCACTTTGGAGTCGCACACAGATATCCTACCACGCAAAAGCACATGGTAAGCATATTTCTTCTGAACTTAACTGCCATGCTGAGTTCGAGATATGTTAGTGGTTAAGATGCGAACTGAAGGGTCCGTTGTTCGAACCCAACCCCTCTGGACTGCTGCTGTCTAGGCCTGGGAAGCATGGCGGTGTCTCAGCTCTCCTGCTTCTTCCGGAGAGCATGGCAGCTGACTCACTGTTGTTATTGTTTAAGGGCAATGCTTAATACATGATTTATGCTTTCCCCGCTTTTTCAGGCTGGTATCCTGATGGTACATGATCGGAGACCTCAAGATGCCGAGGTCCTCGTCGAAATAGTTCATGGGCACGGGCCCACTGGCGATCGCAATATAACTTCTGCCTCTGCCGCTGGAACGACGGGTGTTGCCGGTCTACCTGTTCCTGGTACTGGTGGTTCTGAAGCGCGTACCGAACCCATCCATGCCTCCTCCATCGGCGCCTACTTGGATGATGATGAGGACGAGGAAGATGACGAAGTCGATGAAGAGGAGGAGGAAGACTCCAGCGACGCTCACGAGGAAGAGGATGAGGAGGATGAAGAATTTGCCGCTGCTGTAGCGGCTCAAGGTGTGACGGAAAAAGCAGACGTGGAAATGTCTGGCGCCGCAGGTACCACACCCTCCTCTGGTACAAAGCGAGACAAGTCAAAAACCTCAGGTTCAGCGCGCCATGGTAAAAGTGGCTCCAGCTCGAATGTCGAGCCAAGTCCTCCGGAGCCGTTTCTCTATGTTGAAGAAGGGACTGAACCTCCGGTCACTGCTGTCCCTCCCACGACCAGTACAAGCGCCACGGTAGCTGCGAAGGAAGCTCCATCCCATGAGCCTATGGAAGTGGAGGAAGAACCATCCGAGGGTGGAGTTGGCAGTAACAAAAAGGACAAGGAAGATAAATCAGAAAAGAAAGACGATGTTAAGAAGTGAAACTTTCATCACATTGGACCTCTGAACATCTTACTGTCTCTGCGGACGCGAGCACGAGCCGCATTTACTCTGTACTAGTGATCATACCGAACAAACTTTACTGGTTCAATCGAACACCGGTTCGCGTCTCTCTTCAGCCAGCTGTCATTTGTAACACAGGTGCCCAACATTATTTGCGTTTGTTATTTGATTGTTCTGAATTCTTCCGCAGGCTGGTTCGGTGAAGCACAAACACCTCACAGGACGGTTCTGCTTTCGCTTTTTGACAATATGTCGCATTCAAGTAATCTGCCTCACGTCGACCTGTTACGAGTATGGAGTGCAAACAAGTCAATATATGATAGTATTTGTCGAGTGTAGAAAACAAGCAATGGTACTACATCTGTGACCTCGAGTTCCAGCTTCAGTTTCTTTATCTTTCGGACTGTCATTCGCCAGTCGGTCTGTTTTCGATGAATTGAGTTTTGTCCATTTTGGCATCTTCAGCGAGCGATAACGTCAAGGTCACCATCACTCATTTCGTGATTATCTACTTTCTGCTTAAGTGTTACACCTTAAATGTAGCGTCTGCTTGGCTGGTGGATTTTGTTAGCTTGGACGATTCGTAAGTACTTCCGGGTCTCTGCAGTAGATGTATTTTGTGGAGAACATCGTTCTCATAATCAAAAAGTTGGAAATCGCCAAGTGTTCCTTCCATGGAGGTTCATCCAGCTATAACGCCCTTTCGGTGCCTAGTCGAAGGAACCATGAGGGCTGGGATACTGTCAAACTGCCCAAAGCGTAGACAGGAGCAGTCGAGCCGGGTTCAAACTGTATACCTTCTGGTCAATAAGTTCACGCTCCAACCACTGGGCTGTCTCCATATCGGAAGGTCAACCAGCAGTCGTATGGTTGAAGTGTCCAGTCAGCCGCCTCAAGTATCGACGGGCACACACGTACGGTATGTAGCACTACATTTCTCTGTTCAAGAAGTAGCTTGACAGTGATTGATCAAAGCTTGCGCACATGATGGTCAATCGAAACAGGAGCTACTTTGCTGGCTTGTTCTAGTTGACCTGAAACATTTACCACAGATTTAGGTTTCTAAATCCCTATTTTGTCGATCAGACGGCGCTTTGGAGTACTTGCCCCTTATTTCCGAATTTCAGCATTTTTCACACGGTAGGAAGATGGACGCTCATCTTCAGGTATAAAAGTAGTACATTATCGTTATTGTGGTTGTTATTGCGATTGAGCGTCTAATATACAGGAACACTTGCCGGTCCGGCATCAAGACGATTGATCAGAAATCTGGACCCAACAGCCAATCGTGACCCAGTATTGGCCAAATGCCGGNTGGCGCATCCAGAACGCGTCAGAAATTCCAGAAAGTTATAACCGCTTACGCTATATATACGAAGCGCTGTACAACTGTTCTTGACTTCGTTTTGGGCATTAATAGACCTTGTGCACCTCTGGTGGTTGTTTTGACGTGAACGCTAGCTTCGGAGGCTCAGACCGAGAACTAAGTTGAGGGAAGTACCGTTACTATACTTCACGGTGTATATTTCCACGTCATACTTAGCGGTTGTTCCGCTACGCTTTTACTCTTGAATGTTACCGGCATTGTGTGACCCAAGGTTCACCCCATGCAAAAGAATCTCCAATCGACGGCGGTTTTGAGCCATTTGGGTCCGGTGTCAGGGAAACAAAGCTGGTCAGCCCCCCACTTGACAGCAAAGCTATTGCCTTCAATGCATAGCTCCTTTTCCAACCCCAACCCCCACTTGACAGCCCACTGTACCTATCCCCCCCAAAAAAACATCGGTGAACGAAACTGCGGCAGCTACAACCACTGTACGACGAGTACGCGGTTATTACAGCTGACAATGATGATGATGAAAACTGAATAAGTGTTTGGACGGATTACAGAACAAGAATTCCAAGGATTCGCGTGGTAATGGAGCGAATCCGCCGATGGTTGGAATGTCAATATCATGATCTTCGGTATTAGATACAAGTATTCATTTTCATGGGGAGCTTAGCCCTCAGGAGGGATCATAGTAACCGTTAGCTGTCATCCCTGCAGGAGATTCCCAATCTTTCTGAGGGCCTTACCCACAATTTTTGGTGATCCGTTTTATCTCCAAATAGGAGCAACGAGGTCTAATATTGGTCGTTCCACATCCCAGGATCCTTCCTGTGCTCCCAGAGCTAGGCCGCGGTCGGTAGACCACATGGGTTGCGTCACATTTTACTTCCAATCTCACTTACTACTTGTATATCTGGGGTAAAATGTTTCACTCCAAGTAGTAGGTTACAGTTTACGTTGTCATCCCATTGTTATGGAATATTTGTCCCACACAACTGTTTTTGTACAGCTTAGCTATGATATTTGCCGTTGTTCGCACACTCACCATCCAGACGACTCTTAGATTGTATCAGTAGCGTTAGGCACTTTGAATAGACTCGACGGTTGCTTATGTGCGCACGAAAGAGAGCTCACTTACAGTGTACTCGCGTCCGACTACGTGGTCTAAAATTCGCCCCAAAGCTAAAAACTAGTCTTCAGATGCCGGAAGTTGGACTGGATCGTGAGATGCGTAGCCTTTGCGCTCCAGACAGTCAGGTCTCTATTCCTTATCTCAGTTAATTCTACTCTGCAACCGGTAGCAGGTGCCACTTTCAGTTCTTCATCGTAATTGTGTTCCCCCAGAGCGAGCTGTCCGGGAAGTCAGTTTCTCACATAAACTAGTTTACTTATGAGTGTCTTTGGCAAATGAGCCAGGTAAACTCAAAAACACCTACCACCGAGCCTGTTGAGTTCATATTGTTTTTTTTTTAAATGGCCCCGACTCGTGCTTGGCGCCTTCTTGGAATCCAAGTAATAAGCACAGTTGAAATAACTCAACTTTATCAGTGTACACAAATGGTGAGAATAAAAACAACCAGTGTATGTGGAAAGCAGTTAGTCATCATCATTGTCGTCACGCGCTGCCTCACGTGCGGCAGCCGCATTCGCTCGAAGTACAGCGCCGGGGTTTGGATAGGGTCGTTGTTGGTAGAGCGGTCCCGAGGCAGTCACATCTGCGCCCGTTTTGGCGACCGGCGTCGTTCCAGAGACCTCTAAACCCGAACTCCAGGACCCCCTAGGAGCTTCACCGTAAGATGCTGGGTCCATGGGATCCAGGGGCCCGGATTCGATGGCTTTTCCTTTGGAATAAAAAGAATGTGAACATTACTGTGTTGCAAGCAAGTGTTTCACAGGAAGACCGATTCAGTCTCCGGTTATAAAAGCGCCTTACTGACAATGTCACATCCTTGTATGTGTGGTATTGCTGTTCACGGACAGCCTTTATTGAAATAGACTACAAGACCTACAGAGCCTCGCGTTGGGAGTATATAATCTAACTGTCACTAACCCAGGGTCCAAAAACTGCAAATTGTGCCGCTTACACCCGGGCGCCATCGACTTCATCAAGAACCAGTCTCTCTGAGGGAAATAGGGCCCACGGTAAAATGAATTGACTATTTTACAGAGTATGAGAGAGCTGAGGTTCTGTGTATTGCATGACCTGTCTTGCCGATGTTTTCATCGAACCGGATACGGTTCGATCATCAAGAGAAACCACCATGGGGAAAAGGCAACTGACCTCCAATGGACACATACCAGCTCGTGGATGACGGCAAACGCTATAGTAGAGCACCTAGAGAAGTACCCTTTTCGTGGGGGGTATTTTTGCATAAACGTGCCACCAGATGTGGAGCTTCCAATCACTTCAACCCTTTAGTAAACGGTCACCGTATAACCCAGTGAAGGCAGACTAGCAGGAGCGACAGAAGATCCAAATTAGATTCAAACAGATGACACTGCGGCCAAGCTCCACCTCTCACGTTGAGTTTAGTTATTGGTACACCAGCCTGTTCATCAACTTTCCGAGATAGCCTATCTGGGAGGAGTAAGACGGTTTTACCCTGTGCCACCACCCCAGAAGCCATGAAAAAACTGCTCCTGGTGCTATCGCTGACTATTGCATCGCTACATCACCTGACTTGGTCGATAAGACGGAAAAACCACTTTCGGGATAGCCAGGCTATGTTTGGAAGATGCAGGCATCAGGTCGTCGATCCTCAGAGGAGTGGGAGCCATATGCTGGCTACCAGATATGCCAATCTAATCTGCACATTGCAGTCCGAGTAGACTCCTAACGGCTCCGTGAGGACTTCCTATAAGTGTCCTTTTTTACAAATGGGAAGGTTACTGCACCAAAAGTAACACGACCATACATTAAGTATAACACACTACGGTAATAGTTGCCCTCTAAAGGATGAGGTTTCTTATGAGATTGGAACCCGTCTACTATGAGGTCATTCGTTCAGAGAAAGATGAAATCGACGTTTCAGTCCTGAGGAGAATGTGCAGTATGCATCGCTATTTAAAGCAATCTGGTTCGTCGTGAATTTCCGTAAGCGAGTAACTCAGAACTTCTCATGCAGGAGCATTCGAACTCGGTACATATGGAAGTGCAGACATCTGTTTTGGACAGCCCACCTCTCAGTTTGTCCATTACAGGGGATTTCAGTAGCAAGCTCTCCTGGTCAGTCTCTTGAGGAAGTTTTTGCAGAGGGTTGACAACTCACTTTACTTTGGCTAACTGCGTGCGGGAGAGCCACCTACTTGGATGCTTGAATCACAGCTGGATATTTAAGTACAAGTTTCTACTATTCGTTCATCGCCGTCAATGGTGACGGTGATAATGATGATGCGGTGCAACCTCTTGAAATCGGGAGACTTATGGTGTTAGGGTGTGTAACGCTAGACCATCGTTCTAACTGAAAAGCAAGACCTATATTCCTGTCCTGCAGGACCGTTTATAAGTAACGGCTTCACTGAAATAGCAGCAGTTCTCAGGTTTGCAAAGCATTATTACTTATGTCATCACCCGAGCGCTTGAGATCTCGAATCGGAGTTGGACTGTGCTTTTTAACTCGGATCAGCTCCCAGATCAGAATAACAACTACAAAGGATATCGGATTAGCCCTGACACACGAGCCATCGACTCCAACGCGTGGCTATCATTTCCATTTTCTTTGTGAACGACGATGTAGCAGCTGGAACACTGTCTACCGATGCACGGTCTGTGAACTGAAAGACCGAACAGAACCAACTGCGAGTTTCCACTTCCTCAGGTCAATCGATCGGCCTTCACGATTACCCTACCAGTTGGCCACACAGTTTATGACTGAAGAACCTGTGTCGAAGCGAAGTTTGAGCGTCGATTTTATTGATGAGCGGGAGGGGCTTGGCCTACCTGGCTACATGGGGCAACATACAAAGTAGAGCTTTGACAGAAGCTTGCAACTGAAGTCAGTGAGTCGTAGACAGCTACTGCTCGATCACTAAAACAACAGAGTAGTCTACGCCATCAGTGACAGCAACACCGGCGTGGAACAAAAGTACTTTATTGCCCTAAAGCCGTATAAGTTTATTGACATTGGGTAGTAATTACTCTGTCTAATTCTAGATGGTATATGGTCTGGAAAATGATGTACACTTATCACGAGGATTCAATCCCGTCGCTGAATGGGGTTATCTTCTTCAGCTGACTGTTCATCCATGAAGATAACCCAGTGAAAGATTTCGAAGCTTATCGGGAAGTCCCATTAGGTGAGCGATAGTCTACTCAGTCGAAACCTCGGACTGTTTCTGGTGATAAACAAACGGTTCAAATCCCAAACTTTTCTACTAACAACCTATCTCAGCCGAAAGGCTTTCGGGTTTGCGCTCAGCGTGATGATGAAAAACAGGCAGACTTCAAAAAAATGTCGTTGAGAAATACTTACTTCTTCGTTCAGAGGGACGCCCACCTCGATCGAAACGAGATGGGACCGGACGTCTTTGATCTTTCCTCGAAGTATTGGCGCCATCTGATAGTCTATCCATAGGGGGTTGGTTAACCGCATAATAGGGTGGCGGAGGTGGCATGGACAAGAAATTAGATGGCGGAACCGAAATGAGGCTTGGGGTAAGCCCCTGTGCTGGTGTGGAGTTGTTTGAAGTAAAGTCACTTGGAAGAGGTACTCCATCCGGCGATTCATCATCCGCATTCTCAGTTGTCTGGCTCTGGCTAGTACCTGTGCGGTCACCAGGACCAGCTGACCGATCGGTCCGATCCTCATCCGGCTCGACTCTACGGGTGTTCCATCGCTGAGATCTGTTCCGCCGTCTGGTAGGGTCTTCGTCGGACCCCACCGGTGACCGAGAACGCCGATGTTCTCTACGTCCACGTCTTCGGTCTGAATCGCGACCGTGTCGACTGCCGACACCCTCGTCGCTATCCCGATCGCTTCCACTGACTTCGTCCTCATCATCCTCTTCCTCGCCTTCATAATCCTCACCTCCTTCCTCATCTGAATTCCGATCGCGCTGGTCGGAGCGTTTCTTTTCAGCATTCAGCACGGCCGCTGTAATAGCACCAGCAGCTGCGCGTGCAGCATCTCGTTCTCGGAGTGTGTTGGCCAGAACAATGTCACCAGGTTGGGTGATCTTCGCACGCGGATGCAATGGGGATAGCCAACACACATCGTCCGTCTTGGTATTCCAATAATAGAATCTGCAAGACATGAAGCCACGTCAAGGTCAAAAGTCGAATGATCTGGTGCATCATTCCATCGCGGAAACTAAGTAACCAGTGAGATTGAGAGCTTGATTAGTTGAAGCTCACTTTCTAGTTTGAACAACTAGAAAAAACATCACTTTTTATTCTGCCGACGTTAAGAGACAACATTTAATAAAATATCTTTCTAAGCCTTAGCTTTGGAAGCAGCATGTGTGCATATTATCAGAATGAACAGTCAATTCGAAGGGACTCGTTGTGCACCCAACTGGGCTCATCGACCTTATGCACTCAACCATTCAATAGTGCAATCGCACATGAATGAGTCGTATATACCTAGCCCTTGAGTATTCTTCGGGTTTTTTCAAGCCGTTCTTAGTTTTTCACAACTGAAAACTGAAGATGTCCGCAAAAATTGGTGGCGAAACACAGGTGCTGAAAATTGAAACATTGGATCCCCTAAAACCATTTCACTAGCAGCTGGTTGGTCTCTGCAATCAGAAGACTTGTGTTTTGGACAGGCGTGATCACTCTATGGAACATGTCACCAACATCAGATTAGTTGCGGTTGCAACAAAACACAAATAGGTAGAACGGAACACCGCCCTTCTCTGTGGATTACTGAGCATTTACTCAGAGTTGCTACGACCCATGTAATTGGCAGATACCAAGGTACGTACCTAAGGGTTATTAGTTGCGCGACGTTTGTGAAGCTGGCCATACTGTTAGTCATTCCAAAGTTTTCAAGAGTCTACCACACATGCAAGACCGAAAGCTGTTGGCTTTTTTCAAAATAATTCTAATTAGGGAAAATCAGCCTCTATGGAACATGTCACCAACATCAGATTAGTTGCGGTTGCAACAAAACACAAATAGGTAGAACGGAACACCGCCCTTCTCTGTGGATTACTGAGCATTTACTCAGAGTTGCTACGACCCATGTAATTGGCAGATACCAAGGTACGTACCTAAGGGTTATTAGTTGCGCGACGTTTGTGAAGCTGGCCATACTGTTAGTCATTCCAAAGTTTTCAAGAGTCTACCACACATGCAAGACCGAAAGCTGTTGGCTTTTTTTCAAAATAATTCTAATTAGGGCACGAAAATCAGCGCTGTTAGCGCAGGAGTATTCGTTCGAACAATCTACTTCCCCACCATTACTTTTACCATAAGAATTCATGTGATGTTCGATTTCTAACCCTTGTTACCATGCCTCTACCCATAAATGTGGAATGTTTGACGTCGGTGACTGATATGGCAAAATGTTGCAGCATTTGAAGCTCTAGCCGAAAGAAGTATACAAATGCAACAGAATCTACGTCTTCAGCTGTAGAACCCTTTCAATGCCCAAATGGCATGCCGCCCGGAGGAAGCACGAGGGCTGGTATACTGTCAGGTTGCCCAAGCCTAGGCAGGAGAAGTCGAGAGGCATTGATCGGCTTCGAACCACGGACCTTCCGGCCAGTAAATTCGCGCTTTAACCACTGAGCCATCCCCCCACAAAGGACATGAACCCGAAAGAGTATCCGTATTTTCCAATACTCCGGTTCAAATAGTAGCTCAAAGGATTGTAGAACTTCGCAGGGATATCACTGGAGGACAAAACTGACAACTGGAACCCCTGTGCACAGTTTTTGGTGTGCGATGACTGGTATTCTTATTACTCTCCCTCCTATGGTGTTCTCCTCACCTGAACAGTTTGCGTTGGAGTTGAATGATCCTTAAGTGTCATCAAGTAAAATTACCTTCCAGTAACCGGATCGCCAACTTCAATCCAATGACTGGGAAGTGGATAACGTCTCAGCATACGATTTTTCAACCGAATCCAACGCATATCTGCCGAGAATTTCTGTCTACCGTACCGCTCGAAGCAATACGGCTTACAACGATGGTACACATTTTGTCTATTTGGACAATCTGCACATTCGTATACGAGGATACCGTTCTCGATGATCGGACCAGGGCTAATCATGTTCACGGTTTTTCCCAAAGTTTGCGGTTTTTCGTGTGGTGCTGGTACAGCCACCGGCTCGGTCTCTTCGTCGTAATTCTCGGCGAATACTTCCTCTGGAACAAATAATCGTAAAAACGTAGTGTTCAACATACCTTCGTCATTCTGTTCACTGGAGATAATCCCGCGTTTCTTTAATCGAGCAAGTAGGGCCGCAGGGAGCGGCATCGTGACCGATATCTGAGTACCTGGAAGGAGTGAAAGAGAACACTTCACAATGCTGATGAAGAAACAAATCACGGGTTTCAGATAGCCGCATACATGTGCTATAGTGTTTGGCTACTTTGTTTAAGGCATCTGGATCCAATGGCAACATATTTTCAGTCAAAACATATTTGGGGAAACCTCGGGTAGTGGAGGTATGCGATCTGCACTTCTAACGAACTGTAGCTAGCGGTGTCCCAGAGTGGTGGAGCTTTTTACTATCAGCAGCAGACACAAGTCGTGCACGTATTTTACAGTAATTCTAGTGATGTGGGGAGTGGAAACAGGTAGCTGCATACCGGAGACGAAATCTTCCATCTTTACACGATGCTTCTTCCATCTTTACATGATGCTTCACGTTTCGACGTCGGGGGAGTTTCAAAAGTAGCTATGCAAACAATATGACTGTAAGAGCGTTCTGTGGGTCGACAGGATGTTAGCACAAGACACGCGTCCAGCTCGTGTTCAACAACTAGACGGAAGGTTCGTGGTCCGGTGGCCGACAACCGTAAATCACTCACCAAACAATTACATAGCTAAAATACTCTCATGGCACATCGGCCGTCGCGTGGAGTCATCAGCCGGGTTGCCTTACTTGCTGCATACAGCAGGATGCGTAAGCGAAAACATGCTAGTGCTGACGCATCCCTTCTTTCACTTCCAAGTTTCCCCACTTTCATCCTACCCCACTCAAATTTGAATACTTTCTTCGCAGGTCCAAGAACTAAGACTGGCCGTTTTGCTCGCCCTGCATCACCCTCAGCTGCATCTTCTGGACGTCCGGGTTCAGTAAAATCCCTAAACATTAAAACAAGTCTGTTTTCAAACCTCGAAAGCCTGTCTACTTAGCCGCCTTCAATGTTCGCACACTCAGGCAAGCAGGACAACAGGTGGCTCTTGCTCGTGCGCTGAATTCTCTCTGCATTGATGTCAGAAACAATGATGCAGGACGCAAGTGCTGTGATCGATTGGGGCGAGATGGCCCAAGTGGTTAGAGCGCAAATTAACTGACCGGGAGGTCCGTGGTTCACACCCGACCTCTGCCTCTGTCTACACTTGGGCAACCTGACATTATCCCAGCCCTCGTGCAACCTTCAGGTGGCATGGCAGTTAGGCACCGAAAGGGTGTGAGGGCTGTACGAGACTGATCAGGTGGTCCTCTTCGATTGGGCACGAGAAGCACGGACAGTGGGGATCACTTACTTAAGATGTGTGCCGATCACAGACTGTTCGTTTGCAGTATGAATTTTCGGGACAGCGGAATTCGCTTGGCAACCACCAACACACAGCAGTGAATCCAACTAGACCACATCGCCGTCAGTCATCAGGGGCGAGGGCCGATCGCTGCCTGTCTGTCCTTCTGGAACACCAGCGTGAAATCCGACCATGCAGTCGTACGCTGCAGCTTTTCAGGTCTACGCAAAACGCGCACACCTCGCTTAGTCATTGAGAAGCTACTGGACCCAGAAATCAAACGAAACCCTCAGAACCAGCTCGCCGAACGCCTGACGGACGGTAAACGTCGGACATAAACGGCTACTGGGGAAAGATATCCAAAGCGCTACTCAAAGCCGGAACTTCTGTCTGTGGTACAACTTTATCTAACCATCTAATCTGATAGAACCATGTCTTTGCTGGAGATCCGGCGATGGATTCCTCTTAGCCGTAATCACAACTCCACCCGACGCAAGGTGAAACTGAGTGTCCGTACCGATCGAGAAGCTTGGTGGACCTGGAAGGCCAAAGAAATGGAAGATACAATGAATGTTGGAAACATCATCATCATTGTCAGCTGTAAGAACCGCGTACTGGTCGTACACTGGTTGTAGCTGCCACAGTTTCGTTCACCGATGATTGGGGGGGGAGGTAGGTAGCTGCGCATTGCACGCGCGAGCTGGTAAATTGGTGCATAAATCCAGCACTGTCAGTGGGTTGTCAAGCGGGGGGTGGAAAAGGAGCTATGCATTGAAGGCAATAGCTTTGATGCATGAGCGCCATTGAGGGCGCGACTGGGCCATTTCTGATAATGTTTCTAGCCATTGATGTGGCCCGTCTCGGGGTCCCCATCCAGGAAGACGGCAGTAACCAGCTCAGCTGAGTTTGCTGGTAATGGCTTTCATACTTCGCTGCCATCAAAGCAGAACGTTTGGATCGCTGAGCATATCACTGCGAACAGCAATTCACCTGCTACTTCTAGTCCTCAAAAGAAAGGTGGACCATGAATATGGAGCCTCTTTTATTTCAGAAGTGTCAGAGTGTATTCCTTTACTCAAGCGTCATCTTGCTGCTGGTCCTGGCGACTTTCTCTGTGCTCTTTCGAAGGATGGCGGTGGGCCTACTTGGGTTTATCTGAGAAATGGTCCCAGACAACTCAATTTAATCCGATTTATCAACTATAAACCGTGTACCATAGGCACTTTAGTACCAGCTCTTACAAGTTAGATCACCGGAAAACGGGAGTGTGGGGCATACAGCCAGGCCTTGGAGGCGATGGTACGTTCAGTTTGTTCGGAAATTGAGTAGCTACGCATTGAAGGCGATAGCTTTGATGAACCAGCGCCACTGACTGCACCACTGAACCATTTTCGCGATTGTCATTAGCCATTGGTGAGTTGTGTCTCAGAGTCACCATCCGGGAGAGCGGCAGTTGTCGAACCGACTAAGTTTGCTGTCGTACTTCGTTGCCAGGTCATACACTGTTCAACTCTCAGTCGCTTTCGCTCAGCACGGGGCTGGGCGAAAGAGGCTCTGCGAGGCAGACGGTTTTCCGGCATGCGGAGTACATGTCCCAGAAAGCGTAACCTATGAAGCATGAGTAATTCATCCATCGCGGGACAGTTCCTTCTTCTTAAAATCATCTGGCGCACCACCGCATTGCTGATCCGACGTACCCACATGACTTGACCAATGCTTTGGAGACACCGATGGTCAAACACTGACACCCTTCGCACGTCTGCTGAGCGTAGAGGCCACGTCTCTGACCCATAAAGCAATATGGATCGCAGTGGCGCAGTATAAACTCTTCCCTTGACAGACAAACTGACGTCACGTCAGTGCCATGGGTGTCGGAGGTTTGCAAAAGCTGTCCTGGCCATCCTGATTCGAGAATTAATCTCATCACCAGAGCTTATACAACTACCCAGGCAAACAAATTTATCTACCACGTCGATTAGCTCGCCTGAGAGCATGAGGTTTGGGTCCAATCCAACTCAGTTTTGTAGCAGCAGATGTGAGGCGCACGCTACACCGTGCGACAGAGCTATTTAGGTTATTTCAAATCGTCTGTACTATGAAGTGGTCTGAACCAAGGAAAGCAACATCGTCTGCATACTCAATGCCTGCGGAGGAACGTCCCGGGAGCATTTCGACTCCTGGGGTTTTAGAGGCAGGCAGGGAAATTTCAAGGAGCATATCAACAACAAATTTGAAGAGGAAAGGTGAAAGAGAGCAGTCTTGTCTTACACCAGTGGACGTGGTGAACTCAGGCGAAAGCTTGCCCTATACTCATACGCGCCCTTAGGAGTTCGCACACAGTGCTCTCATAAGGGAGAGAAATTTGGAAGCAAAATCTTTGGTCATCAGATATTGCCAACGTTGCTGACCATCGACAGGATCAAAAGCAGCTATCGAATCAAGGAAAACGACCACGTGGGACGCCCAAAGGATCCTTTGGGTGGTGCCACCGATGGCGTGTTTACTGGGGAGTGGTGCTGTTCAATAATTTGTCTCAATGTAAAGATATGGTCTATATATCATCGACCAGAGCGAAACTTATCTTGATTCTCACGAATTTGTCTCTCCGCATGTGAAAAGATCAGATCGTGCGCGCAAAATTATGGAGCATCGCCTGTTGAGCAATAGTGGATGCGACCCCGAACCAGGTGTGCAGGAGTGCCCCAATAATCGTGAGCATGGAACGATTTCGCATTCTCAAACATCCGTGCGTGAGTAAACGTAGAGCTCTCCAAGACCTTTCCTGAACGAAATAGTGCCCGTCAAAGTTAACAACCCACTTCATTTCTACAGAAAAGGATCACGAATGTACATATATGTACTTTCGTGATCCACGAGGTAATAAGATGAAGTTTGGGAAGTCTTCAAGACCCAGAAAGTCTGAGATGCTCGGAAAACAATACAGTTGACCCGTGGAACCAGGAATAGGAAATCGCCTGTGTTTGAGACCATGAAACACCAAAGTGGAACGACCATCTTCAATAAAGAATTGCAACTCGAACACTCAGAGAGACCAGCCGATCACCTGGTAAACTGACTTATTGGGTAGCCAGATCCCTACACACATTTGGATCCTGAAACTGAGGTGGAACCCCGGTCGGTGAACCTGGAGCTCCTACGACATCGGAGATTTATGGCTCCTTGTGTTCTCTGAAGTGCCACCGAGCTCCTGGTCTGGATGACTTGCCAGCCACATCGTTTAGGGACGAGGGTGAAGCCCTCATCCGGTGCTTACCTTATACATCGGCCTGCATCTGGAAAAAGGAATTTCCGCACAATTTGTTAAGAGGAACTGCGTGCCAAAACCCCGCTCACTGATCGCGGTTAGGGGCTGCTACGAGCGAGAAACCAGGTCTACAGACGATTGGCCGAAAATAAAGGGCAGCTGGCTGGTGCAGCATCAAGGCGAGCTCTGATTAACCGAGAGTCTGGACCCAATAAGAAGCCACGAGCCTGTATCAGACAGTTCACAGTTTAATACATGGGATTGCGGTTTTTGCCCCAGTGTCGGCTTTGTTCTTGTAGTTCTGCGGCTGTCGTTTGCATGAAAGGCAAAAGTGAAAAAATGGTGTGGCACTGCTCCTTAAGTTCTCAGCTCTGAACCGTATGTTGGCCAGGGCGAAGACTCGCATAAATAAGCGTCTAATAGTGCTTCGAACAGGGTTCTAAAATTGGCGTGGACAAGCCGTGGGCTAGACGCAC